AATGACGTTAAAAATAGTTGAACATTTGTACTCAGCTTATGTTGATAATGACGTTAAAAATAGTTGAAAATTTGTACTCAGCTTATGTTGATAATGACGTTAAAATAGTTGAACATTAGTGCTCAGCTTATGTTGATAATGACGTTAAAATAGTTGAACATCAGTGCTCAGCTTATGTTGATAATGACGTTAAAAATATATGATCATTAGTGCTCAGCTTATGTTGGTAATGACGTTGAAAATAGTTGAACATTGGTGCTCAGCTTGTGTTGATAATGACGTTAAAAATAGTTGAACATTAGTGCTCAGCTTGTGTTGATAATGACGTTAAAAATAGTTAAACGTTAGTGCTTAGCTTATGTTAATAATGACGTTAAAAATAGTTAAACATTAGTGCTCTTCTAACCGCTATATTTTTCGATATTTTTAAGAAACTTGAAAATATTTATAAGAAATTAATTACTTGACATTAAAAATCATAAAAAGGCAAAACTGTATAGGTTTAACATAGAAAAACCTCAGTTAAACTTATAAATACCGTTATGTTTTGGGTCATATTAACCCGGAGCAATTTCAGACCAACTGAAACAGCCTTGAATTAATAAAATAGTTTTTCTTTGCATCGGTTTTAATGTTTGTATTAAATATGAGAAATTATTGTCAACTCTCATTACAAGAAACTCAAAGATATGTATAATTGCACCATAAGCTATGAATACCAGTAAAGTTCACAAGTAACGTAATAAGAGGGTAAATTATAATATTACTCTAAAAATAATTCAACTGTAAGTGGAAAATATATTTTTAAAGAACAACTTATTTTACTTACACGAAAAAACAACAACAGAGAATCCTTGTATTAACACATAATAAACATATGATGATGTTCTTAATATTTCTTTATCGAACTTCGAATAAATTGTGAGCATTCGAAAACTTCCAAGCAACCAAATTAGTTTCTTCGAACAGAAGCCAGTTATATGAATCGTGCAAATAATCACAGAACGATCTCCTTTTTTTAAGCTGAAATTGGGTTTAAGTATACGCCTTAATTACTAAATAAATTACAAATAACATGATTAAGTACTGAATTCTATCTGTCCAGGTGCTTCTTTAATACGGACTTACCTTGCTAGACATATCCAGGTTCTTCTCACCTGACTACCTTCACCTTAAAATCTTGAGTAACAACCAGCGCTTTTCTTGTGTGGTATATGTCAGTCTGTGGTCCAACACTTTTCTTTAGACTTCTAGCTGGGACGAGAAAGTAATGGCTATAGTCATATATAAGACGTGTTTATGTGTCAAGCACTGGCAGATATCCAGACCCCGTGACTTCCAACCCCCTTGTTCCTTTCAGTTGTTTAGGTACCCCCCAGTGAACCCCCCTCCAAAAGAATAAGTGAGCTTTAACCTGAACGCTTCAATGATATTCATTTTTCATATATATATATGTGATTCATGCAGAGTATTTATGACTAAACAGACAAACTACCCAGCTCATGGTGGCAGTTGTGGAAGAAGCCTTAAAGGATTAATGTTTTAAAGTCTTTCAGGTAGAAAGGACAGGTTTCAAGGGCTTTCCGTGTTTCGGTCAGTTGACATTACCATTACTCTCTTGCTAGGAATGTGGGAATTAATACCCAAGGTGTTCGGAAATTACGCATTTTCTCTGAAACGTGGGCATACATTTATATACCCACACAAAACCTCGTACATATGTATGCTGAAACGTGCACATACATTTATTTTCCCACACAAAACCTCGTACATATGTATGCTGAAACGTGCGCATACATTTATTTTCCCACACAAAACCTCGTACATATGTATGCTGAAACGTGCGCATACATTTATATACCCACACAAAACCTCGTACATATGTAGGCTGAAATGTGCGCATACATTTATAAACCCACACAAAACCTCGTACGTATGTATACTGAAACATACGCATACATTTATATACCCACACAAAACCTCGTACATTTGTATACCCCCAAGTAAATACACGTGCGTATGAAAAAAGAAAGAAATTAGCTCTGGTGTCTGCATAGTTTTATATGGTATCCGGAAAGATTGAAGAGGATATGACCAGATTGGTTTGGGCTCTTGCAATATGATTGGTGGAACGGTTAAATATTAGACCAATGGCAGCCTCAAACTGTTGATTTGCAGGCATAATTCTCAGTTTACCAATGATTCCATCGTGTTAATATACAAAGATTAGATTTTATTGTTTTCCAAAAGTTATCTGATTCGATGTGTCTGCAACTGCTTCAGTCTATGTTATGTCCAGTCAACATGTGCATGTTCTGACATGGCAGATGTTTTTATCAGTCTTGTGCAGTCTTTATGTTCTTTTATATTTGACTCAAAGTGTCTACCGGTTTCTCCAATGTTGGTCTGTAAATGACGTTTTTGTTTTCGTTAACAAATGTTTTTTTGTTGGACAAACACAGATTTGAGTGTTCTGTAAGGTTTCCAGCTGACATCAACGTTGAGTTTTTTTTTGTTTTTTAGTTACACATTTGAACTTCTCCCATATGTTTTGCACATACGGGAGGTAAACAGTGTTGGTATTGTTTTTCTTGTTTGTTATATCATTTTGTGTTTTTATGTTCTTCAAGCTATTAGTGATGAAACTAAAGGGGAACCCATTCTGTTCAAAACACTATGATGTATCGACGTTCGGTTTTGATGGGATTTTTTCACAGATGTTTTCAGCTGTGTTCTCCAAACACTTAATAATACTATGTTGAAGGTGGACGGTAAGATTGGAATATTAACTATCTATCAGTACAAGTTGGTTTCCTGTATATCGGTTGTAATGGGTTTGTCATCCTGTCTTCTGATATAAATGTCAAGGAACAACAGACTGTTAATATTCAATATTTCCATGGTAGAGTGGATTCTTTTGTCTACGGAGTTAATGTGTTATAAGAAGACTAGTTAGTTTTTCATGACTATAGAACCAGATAATAAGTATGTCATCAGTGTAACATTTTTAAAAGCTGGATTTCTTGTCGGTAAAGGAGGGCACTCTTTGTATAAAATTTTCATTGAAAATGTCTGCTAGAACCAGAGAGTGGTGATCACATGACAAGGCTGCCCGTTTGTTCAAAGAAGTCGTTGTTGTATTGAAAGTATATGGATTGTGGACGAACTGTGGTCAGTTCTAGAATAGCTTTTATCATCATATCAGTTATATATGTAAGAGAGTTATCATTCAACAGCCGTTGTTTGGTGACGTGAAGGATTTCTGTAGCTTGGATGTTAGTTAACAAGTAGAATGAAAGGGAGCCCCGATGATATTACTGATCACCCCGGGGCCTCGGCTGGCTCTCGACGCCCCCTGGTTATGATGTGACAGACCTATTCATTTTTGCTGATTTTTCATAAAATAAATTTAGGTGACTAATTTCTTCATGAATCCATCAAAAAGCAGTAGCCATTGTAACTCATTAAATAGTATGCATTTCTAGTGAGCTTTGGAGTATCCCACGGCCGGGCCCCTCAACAGATCCCGGGTACCGGAGCAGGTGCCCCCTCTCATCAGCCTTAATCATAACTGACGAGGACGTCCAACGATATGATATCTAGGGTTCTGAGTTATTCGGTGAAAAGCTTTGAGTTGTAGACGTGATGTTGTGTATGTGGACGTGATGTTCAGTATTGATAGCTGTGAGAGGTATGTTGGGTATGTGGACGTGATGTTCAGTATTGATAGGTGTGAGAGGTATGTTGGGTATGTGGACATGATGTTCAGTATTGATAGGTGTGAGAGGTATGTTGGGTATGTGGACATGATGTTCAG